TAATGTTTATAAAGTGTTCTGCTCCCCAGAGGGAGACAATGGATAAAACACAAGGTGTGGTTATGGCTCATTCAAGACCTCATTTCCAGGGTAGTTAGTAATAGCTTCCCGTTACAAATGCAGCGCTTCCCAGCACCTTGAACTCAAAGTACAATGAGGCAATGCCCCTTATCTAAATATCCGTTTTTGGTTTGACACTTACTACCAACACTAAAAATAACAAAAGGTAACCAGGGACTGTTATGCCTTGCTAATGCAGGTCCAGAATCCATTCCACACTGTTTTCTTCTTAAACCAAACAAATCCGAAAGCAGTCCAAAAAACTGACCTAAAGCTGTAACTGGTCATCACAAAGCTCTGTCTATATTCTCCATGTTTCCATAGTAACTAATAATTTGTAGGAGGGCCACCAGAAACCAAACCCCGTGTAGATCCCACAGCCAAGATGGACAGGAGGAAACCTCCTACAGAATACAAAGTTCATGGTGTGTGCTATTGGAAGTGATAGAAATACAAGAGTGTTCTTGAAAGATCTTTCCCCAAGGTTCATCCTCCATAAAAATGACTTCAAAAACTCTGTAAGGGCTGGGAACAAGAAGTCCCAGAGCTGGACTCTTCATTTCTGGGGATCTTCCAACACGGCCAAGAGTTAAGAACAAAATACAGAGCTGACGCTCAAGTGTTGTGTTTTGGCTTGGAGATGGAACCCACAGCTAACTAGGGGCACGACCGGGGGGTGGGGGGGCTGCTGGGAGGGGGACGCGAATGCAGTATGCCATCTGGACAGGTACGAAGTGCTAGGGGAGCCAGGGAAAGGATATTAAAGGAGTTAGAGGATTTGGAGATTTCGGTAAAAGAGGCAAAAATGTTTGTTCACCTGTCTTATAGGACTGTTTGCAAAAATAGTCCTACCAGCAAATTGTAAACAGACTTATAAGCTGAAAGCCTTATTAAAGGCATTTCAGACGGGAGACCTACAGCCAACTTTTTTCAGGTTTGCACAGAAATGGATATGTTTGTGCTGCAGGTAAAAGGATGATACAATATTTACCCACTTGAAAACATACATTTTCTTTATTTAGATAATTGTACAGATTACATTTAAAATAGTCCTTCTCAGAAACAAAAAATTTAAAAGAACATTGCGTTCTCAAGACTCTCATGAGCAAGGACTATTTTGGCTTTGTCAAGAAGGAGATGAAGCCACAGAGGGAAGCCTCCTCTGGGTCATGCCGCATGAGCGCGGGGGCAAAACATGCTCAGGTGTCCTCCTGCATTAGTTCTCTAGCTTGGAGAGGCTGACATCAACTGGGAGAAGACATTATATGGCTTTGCAAATAATACCTGTGCTACAAAAATGTTATACAATAAGTCAAGATAAAACTGGAATCAAGGGGCGCCTAGGTGGCTCAGTTGTTAAGCATCTGCCTTTGGCTCAGGTCATGATCCCAGGGTCCTGGGATGGAGCCCCACATCGGCCTCCCTGCTCCACGGGAGGCCTGCTTCTTCCTCTCCCACTCCCCCTGCTTGTGTTCCCTCTTTCGCTGTCTCCCTCTCTCTGTCAAATAAATAAATAAATAAATAAAATCTTAAAAAAAAATTAAAAATAAAAACTGGAATCAAAATATATTATTCCAAATGTATGAGCATAGAACTTTGATACAAAACCAAATACAAGATTACAGTAAACATATGCACACTACTTTGATTTACAAGTTAAGCATTCTTTTTTTTTTCTTTTTTTCTAAAGTTTACTTATTTAAGTGATCTCTACACCCAACATGAGGCTCGAACTCACAACCCTGAGATCAAGAGTCGCATGCTCTTCGACTGAGCCAGCCAGGCACCCAAGTGTTCTAAGCAAGAAGAAAACCCCCAGCAAGTGCTTTTGTGAGCTGTAATAAATAGCATTAAAGAACAAATAAAGTAGGGGTTAGTAGAGGTTCAAGGAAGATCAAGCCCCCCAGCTCAGTGTGGAAGGGGGATCATAAGTCTCCCTGGAAAGGCTGGTGTTGGTCAAAGACTATGAACATCCCAATGGGCAGGGACCAAGGTGGGGAAGGGGTGAAGAGACGCCCCGGGTTAAGCGAGCAGAATGAAGAGACAGGAGTGCAAGGAGTGGTTGGAGGTGGGGGGGTATTGTGGGGACAGCACAAGGGTGTACATACTGAAACGTGATGAGGGGAGAAAGGGAGCAAGGCCTTGAGGGCCAGGGTCAAGAGTACCTGTTCGATTCTATAGGCAACGAGGACTTGCATGCTCCAAGCGGTATACTAGGAAGGTCTCATCTGGCAAGACACATAGCCCTGATTAGATCAGACAGGGTGGTTAAGAGACTGTCGGTACAATAGTCCATGTGGGAAGTATAAAAAAAAGTCTGACTCAAAAAGAGACAGAGACGGACAGTAGAGGCCACTGAACATATTATCAACAGGTGAGCAAAATAAGAAAAAATCTGCAAAAAATATGAAATAATAGTATATAACCATAACAGACAGAATTCATACAAATGGCAAAGAAAAACTAAAACCCAAAAGAAAAATAATGAAAGGATAAAGCAGGAGTATGAATGATTAATAAATACACAGACTCTTCAAGTTTACTATTAAATGAGAAAATAAACATTAATTATTTAATTCAGTGCCTAACACAGTGTAGGTCCATAAAGTGTCACTTGTTATCAACTTATAAAAAAATAAATAACTTTTAGCAAATCAAAATAGAAAATACTTTTAAAACATAACCCTCCATATTACCAAAGGCGTAATGACAAACCTCAGCTGGTAAGGGAGCAGGGGCATGTAAATTAGTATGACCTATCAAGAATCATTAGAAAGTTACACCTTTGACCCAAGAATTAGCCTTCTAAGAATCTATTCTAAAGACACAGCAAGACTTAAAATATAGATTTCTGTACAAATATGTTCATTGCAGTATTACTTAAAGAGAAATAAAAATAATCAGAAACCTAAGTGTCCAACAGTATTTCATAATTGGATATTATAATATTATGTCTTTTAAAAACTTAATGGTGTTAAAATGCATACAAAGTTAACCAGAAAAAGGGATTCAAACATATATGCATATTTTTATAAAACACATACACAAAAAATTCTGCAAGAAAACCTATAAAAGTATTAATGTTCAACTCTCATTAGCACGTAACAGATGAATTTTTCTTTCTGTATTTCCAAATTTTCTTCCATACACATGTATTGTCTTTATTACAGGAAAAAAAAAAGATTGTCCTAAGGAAAGTAGGTGACAAGCACCCGAATATGGAAGATGTAGAACTGTAAGGGCAAGGTGACTGAATACTCTAACTCAGGTTTCAAAGCTGATTATAAGATTTAGGGTCTTTGTAACCAGAATGCTATAAGCATAAGAGCAGGTCTGGAAATTCAGTGATTCATACTAAGATGTGAATGACTTGTTAGGCACTTCCCCCCCACCCCAAAGCATCTCTATTTTAAAAGAAAAAAAGGAAAAGAAAAAATCATTTTAATCCAAACAAGTCTCCCCCGCCCATCCCCAAACAAGTTTCAAATTGAGAGAAAGGTTCTTATATGTATATTGAGGATGGGGAGAAGCAGCTTCCCTCTGGCACATCATTCCCAAACATTTCTAAAAGCTTGCTGATGCCCTGGAAATAACAGCAGGTTTGAATTCACATTCCTAAATGCACAGACCAGCTCAACTACTTACTTGCTATTTAACTTGGGCCAGTCACTTAATAGCTCTATGCCTCAATATTCTTTTTCATTTTTTTAAAGATCTTATTTATTTATTTGAGAGAGAGACAGACAGAGATAGCGACAAACAGCATGAGCGGGGAGGAGAGAGAGAAGCAGACACCCTGCTAAGCAGGGAGCCCAACTCAGCGCTTGAACCCAGGGCCCCAGGATCATGACCTGAGCCGAAGGCAGATGCCCAACTGACTAAGCCACCCAGGTGCCCCTTCTTTTTTTTTTTTTTTTTAGAAGGAGGTTCAACACCCAATATAGGGCTCGAACTCACAACCCCAAGATCAAGAGTCACATGCTCTACTGGCTGAGCCAGCCAGGCGCCCGTATGCCTCAGTATTTTTTTTTTTTTTAAAGATTTTATTTATTTATTTGAGAGAGAGAGAATGAGAGACAGAGAGCATGAGAGGGAGGAGGGTCAGAGGGAGAAGCAGACTCCCTGCCGAGCAGGGAGCCCAATGCGGGACTCGATCCCGGGACTCCAGGATCATGACCTGAGCCGAAGGCAGTCGCTTAACCAACTGAGCCACCCAGGTGCCCCGCCTCAGTATTCTTATAAAAGGCAGACAATGTCAAGCACTTCAGTGGTTTCTTTTAAGGACTGAATGAAAAGGTACATGAAGGGCTTAATGCAGTGTCTGGCACATAGTAAGTGGAATATGATGTTATTACTCTGTGTCATTTCATTGCCAATCAGAAACAGGGTAGCAGACTAAGGGCAGATAACTCAGCACAGGATGAATGCACTTAGAAACAGAAATGGTCTACATATCTTAGCAACCTAACGTTGGCTCAGTGATCATTGTGGGAAATGTAGGACTTAATCTAAATTAAGGTGAAAAACATTTAGCTATTGCCTACCCACTTGCAAGCTGTGATTAATACAATATTATAAGATACTGTATTTTAAAAGACAGTAATAATAAAATGCCAGAACTTAAAAACAATAAGTCCTTAAGAGAAACATTCACAACCACTTTAAAGAATGTGAAAGATCCCTTTGGGGGAAAAAAAGGATTCACAATCCTTTGAAGAAATGATAGGAATTTAACCGAAATGAGAACTGTAGTCAAGAAGCCCCATTTTGAGGAAAGATTTATCTGTTCAACATCTACAATCTCTTTCTAGAAGATGCGCTTTTATCACTCTACATCCTGCTTGGAACCAAGGCTTCAATTTGAGAATGCAAATTCACTAGAATTGTATAAGACCGAACAGCATCGAATCAGGAAAAACAGAAGAAAACAATCACAGTTCCTAATCCAGTTTTAAAACCCTGGCCCACGTCTCAGCTTTGAACTTGAGAATGTTTCCTTTGTCCTTTCTGACATTACCGGAGGAGGAAGGCCCCATGCCTCCTATCTCTGTGCTGGACGCCATCTTTAATGATGATATATGGGGGTCCTTTCCCCTCAGCACTGCTGGGGGGTCAAACGTGATGCCGCCCACCAGAGTATCAACAAGCGAATTATAAACTGTGTCAATCCGAGTTAATGCAAAGCTGTAATCCTCTTTAACAAGAGATCAAATCACTGCTGTGAGTTATGTTCATTCTGTAATCTGATAAGGAAGAGAGGGAATCTCTAATAAAAGAGTAATGGGAGCCTTTAATGACGATGGTAAAAGGCAGCACCAGTGAAAATATTGCTCTCGTTCCTGCTGATTAGATCAATGTTGCATATTTGCCCGGACTTGTTTCACCTGTCAGAATAACCTGTGTCTTTTTAAGAGATAAGAAGCCTCGAGAAAGCATCTGTATCTTAACCATTCTTGCTTGCAAGTTTTTAACCAACAACAGATGCTCTGTGGAGGGTACTTCTGGGGTTATTAGCTGATGTGCTCTCAAATGCCAAGCAAACTACACCAGAATCCTTCACCATGACACAGTACACACTGCTATTAAATAAAGGGGTAAAGTAGGCAAATGGAGTAAAAAAATGGCCTAAGTTAACCTCTGGGTTATCAACTGGGGGGAAAAAGAATATCATCAGGAAACTGGTAGAATGTGCCCATGTTTAGGGTGCAGACCCACACACAAAAATGGCAAGCCGAAGATAATATGCCTGTACGAATTCTATTATACCAAGGCACCTCAAGAATAACGTGGCAGTGATGTTGACAAAGCACTTTACAGGGCTGGATTACCTTTGTACATTTCCTTTCTAAAACTCCAGATGTAAAACAATAATGTATTTGGTGCTTAGTGGTTATCATTAAAGGATCCTCTCCTTGTTCTTTTTTAACACCAGCAGCTTCATAGAAGGAGTGGGAAAAGTGGTTCTTTATCGTGGGGGAGAAAATGGGGGGCTAACATGGAAATTCTTACTGTTTCTATTGAGAATTTCAAGTTCTTTCCAAAGGAATGGGGTACCTATAATACTGCTATCATTTTTGTAATAAGGAACAAAGCTTCTCAGGAAAACTTAATAAGCTAGCCTCAAAACGGAGGGTCCCCGAACTGGGTTTATGTAAGAGCCGTGGTCCGAAGCAGCAGTGGGTGCGAGGTGGACACCACGTTTCTTTGGTGCGCTTCCGGCCGCTAGCTGCCGCGGAGACCCTTACTGGGCCGACAGCCAAAATGCTCTGGGGGGGGGAGGACATGCCCCCCACCCCCCGACAGAGTGCGTGGTGCATGTGGATTCCCTTCCCAAATCAGAAGCAGTGGCCACCAGTTAGGAACGTATCTTGACCTGTCTCAGGTCTTACTCAGAATTTGCTTCTCCCGCTTGTCACACCAGCATTTTATATCTGACCTACATCAACACAACAAATGAGGAAGAATTAACTTCTTTTTTTTTTTAAAGATTTTATTTATTTATTTGACAGAGAGAGAGAGATAGCAAGGGCAGGAACACAAGCAGGGGGAGTGGGAGAGGGAGAAGCAGGCTTCCCATCAAGCAGGGAGCCCGATGTGGGGCT